GAGAAGGAGCTAAAGAGCTTTTTGGAACTATTGTTTCTCTATATTGGGTTTTCTACATCAAAATAGATATTTAGGTATTTGTTAAAAAAATTAATAATAAAAAATGACGTCCAAAACATTAGCAATTTTGAAACTAATCTACATATCTGTTACTTTTGAGAATCTTATCTAATGAGATCATTATAGTTGTTAAGCATGGATTCTTTAATGATCCGTCTCTTCGCATAAAGACTATCTTTTTGTCAAATTTTAACTAGTTGTTAAGGTCAGTATACTTAATTAATTTTTTAATGATGTCTGACATAGCACTTGGAGGTATTTATCTAGCAAATAAGTTCCCTGCTTGCACTTAACCTTTTTTTTTTTTTTTTTTTTCACAGTTTAGCCAGCATGTATATTACTCTGCGATTAGAAAGAAAAACTCTTGAAAAATCATGGTTCATCATGCGGACATTTTAAGGGAGCATTTGTTGACATCGGCAAAGAATAAATTGCCAGGTTTCATGGCATCGTTACCAGAGTGACAGATTGACAGCAAAATAATTTCAGACTTCTCAAAGGAAGTTCAGATCATTGGCCTGGACGATGCAATTGCCTTCTAAACGTTAAAATGAACACTGGACTTGATTGATTTGCCCTGTCAATGGCCTGTCTCATATGCCTACAACAATGCTAACGGTTCCCTTGAAGCCACCTATCTTCCCAGCTTGGATTTTTCACATAGGAATTCAATTCAAGAATTATTATGGAATTAGGGTGATCAAAACCCTTGAAATCACATAGACAGAAAACAATAAACTTTAAGATGGTGTTATTCTCAGTCTATTGTTTGCTACTCTTAATTTATAATATATTTTTTATTACCTAAATAGATCAAGATACTCTTAATTATATTTTTCACGAGTAAATTATTTTATTTTTATTTTATTTTGAAGAAAAAATTAATTATTATTTTATTATTATTTCAAAAACTAATTATTCAGTTTATTGAAAAGCATTGATCATGTTTAAATTAATATTATTTTATTTCAAAATATTTCATTTTTTCGTTAATCTTTTTATATTTTTAATTTTTTTTCTGTTTTTTAAAAACAAAAAATAAAAAACAATTGAAAAACACAAAAATGATTAAGCTACAAAAAAATTAAAAAAACATAACAACTAAATGATTATTTTTTAAGAAGGATTAATTAATTAATTTCTTAAAACTAAAGAAACTATATAATTTATAATTTACTCCATTTTTTCTCGGATGATAATGTTAAATGTTTGTATTCCATTACTTAAAAGTCTTTTTCATTAAAAAAATAAAAAAAATGTACTTTGACAATTTTTTTACAAAATGAATTTTAATTTGGGATATTTTTTAAAAATATATTATTTAAAATTCTAATCAGATAAGTATTTTAAGATAAATATAAATAAATAAATAAACAATCTGTTTGGAGCAATCTTTTTGAAATGGATGGAATATTTTTTTAACAATTAGAAAGGCCACCATAACTAAATTCATCAACGTCGTTTTTTTAACTTATGGGTATACCGATATGACTCGTATATATCGAACAATTAATATAATTATGGATTAATTTAATTTATTTAATAAAACCAATTTAAACAATAACAATATCTCATTGGAAAAAAAAATGGAAAAAGCAAACGTAAAGTAATCATATATCAAGAAAACAACTACTAGTATAACATCACTTCCATTGTCCAAAGAAATTTACCTTGTTCTTCAAGCAAGTTCTCATCAAGGACCTTGACAATGCCATTTTACCGTCTAAAGGTGAGCTTGAATCCTGGCCATGAATCCATTATCGATTTGCCCTGTAAAAAGCCTGTCTCCTACGCCTACCACAATATTGCTAACGGTTCCCTTGAAGCCACGTATATTCGCAACTTGGATTTTTTTAACTAAGAAGTCCTTTCAAGAATTATCACATGTGGGTTTCTGTAGTTAGGGTTATCAAGAACTTCAAAATCACAGAGACAGAAGACAACAAACTTTTTTTTTTTTCTTCTAGGTTCAGCAGTAAGATTGTCTAAGACCAGCTTTCATATATATATAGATCCTGGCCTTGATTGATTTGCCCTGTAAATGGCCTGTCTCCTACGCTTACAACAACATTGACAGCGGTTCTCTTGATGCCACGTATCTTCCCAACTTGGATTTTTTTACAAAGAAGTCATTTCAAGAATTATCACGTGTGGGTTTCTGTAGTTAGGGTTATCAAGACCTTTGAAATCACCAGCGACAGAAGACAATAAACGTTTTGTTTTGTTTTGTTTTGTTTTTTTTTTTTAGCTTCAGCAGTAAGGTTGTCTCGGATCGGCTTTCGCGTGTCTTGATCATCGTCTCTTTCTAATCATGATTAAGGAATATTTTTTAACATAAAATATTAAATATTTTAAAAATAAAATTTTAAAATTACTACCTACAGAAATCAAATTCTTAATTTGACCTATAAGTAGACGTTTGATTATTGATAAAACTATCACTTTGTAATCGAAGACAATAAACTTTAAAATGATGTTATTCCCATTTTCTTGTTTGTTAATTCTACATCATAATCTATGTTTATTATTTACACACACCAAGATATTTTTAAATATTACTAAAACTCTTCTTTTTGTAATTAAAATATTACTTCTTTTTTTCTTTTTTTTTATCATTAGCTGTCGCCCGATTTAATCTCTTCAAAGAAAATTTTGATCATGCTATATATTTTTTTTCTAAATGTTATCTACCAATAGAATATATATTTCTAAAAATATAATAGATTAATAAAAAATTTGAAAACTTTACATACTTCTAATTTTTTTTATTTGAATTAATTTTGAATTTTAATAATAATAAAAATTTCAATAAAATTTGATTTTATCAAAATAAAATACTCCATAATTATACTAAAGATAATAAATATAGTCTATTAATAAAATTTGTATTAATTGTATAGTGGGATTAGCAAGTTATGCGAGTAGAAACCTATTGCCATCCGTCTATTAATCTATTTTTTACTCGATGATGCGTCTTTTTGTGGTTGGTGTGTTATTAATTGTTGAGAAATTTTATAATACATTAGGAGTAATTAGTAGCATGTATAGTAGTTACTCCATGAGTTCACTTTGAGAAGAGAGATAGACACATAAAAAAGATAAAAATTACATCTATACCCATTAAAAGTGCTAAGAAGATTTCCACATCCGTTCAATTTTTTTTATTTTCTCTCTCCTGTTTCTCTATCTCTTTTTTTGTATGTCTATTTTTCTTCTCAAAGTGAGCCCATGGAGTGACTACTGTACATGTTACTAGTTACCCTTGGTGTATTATAAAATTTCTCTTAATTGTTTTCATTTCCATAGTTCTAAACTTAAATTAAAACTTCTTCTTTTTTTTTTTTTTTTTTTTTCTCTCTATACCATTCATGCTGAATGAAAAGGTTGTCTAAATTTAGAGAACTGGTGCTCTCTTTTTTGCTTATATTTTTAACAACCTTGGGTGAAACTAAAAAAAATGGCTTCCAAATTGATATATTTTTCTGTCCATTTTATCTTTCAAATTTAAGAAATTCTCAATTATGTCTTTTCATCCATATTTGATTATATATTCCATCTAGATTGTACCCTTCTTTCGTTTGTTTTTCCTAGGAATTATAATAAAAGGACTCAATTGAAAAATCTAAATTATTTGAGGATAAAATTAATATAAAAAATTATTTGGGGGCAAAATTGATACAAATCCAATTATTGTGGGGGTATATTTTAGGTTTATTGTATTCTAGTAGTAGTTAGACATTTATCAAGCTAGTAAATTATAAATTAGTCCCATTCTTTGAGAAATGAATTAATGAGTCCCTTTAGTTTTAAAAACTAATTATTTAATTTTTTTACTTTTTTTTTAATTTATCTTATTTTTTGTTTTAAGAAATAGAAAAGGAATAAAAATAAGTAAAAATATCAAAACATTGATGAGGAAAAAATAATTCATAAAATAAAATATATTTAATTAGTCGCCCTCAATACTATTAATGGGACTAAATAGTCAGTTTGTAAAACTAGAAGGACTAATTAAATTTTTCTCAAAATGAGAGGGACTAATTAATTTTTAAAAGTAAATTTATTAAATAATTATCATAAATTACTTTTTGAATATTTTAAAATTTCTTCATTTAGTGTTTGCTGCTTGTTGACTAGACCTCATACTTATAAGAAGGGGGAAAAAAGGCCAAAAAAAAAGGGGCAGTTTTAAAAACCAATATTATAAAGTGAAATTAAAGAAAAATAAGAAAATATTTTTCAATGAAATATACAGTGAGCCTTGTAACGGCTAGTTAGACTCGTACCGTTGGATGAAGATCTGCTAAAAAAAATACATACGAACTGCACGCTCCCCAAAGCAGCGTCCTTCTCTCTCTCGATCTAAAGAAAAGAAATTTAAGCAAAAAAGGGAAAAAAATCTACTTTAACTACATTTTCCATTCTCTTCTGTACCTTAGCACGCACTTTCCATACATAGAAGGGAGCTACTGATGTGCTAGGGTTTTTTTTCTCTCTTACAGGAAAACAAGGGTTTCTTTTCTTTTTCTTTTTTTTTTTTACTCAGTCTACAAGGTTCAGTATTTACAACAATGAACATCTTCAGGAAGAAGACTTCTCCTAAAGGTACTATTTTTGTGTTATAAATACATTTTTTGTAAATGGGTTTTGTTTTTAATTAGTAATTGTGTTGAAAATTTTTGAGCTTTTTTTTTCCGTTTTGATGGCTTGGAGGGTGTTTTTGTTGATTTGGGTTTAATGGATTGCTGTGTCTGTGAAAATGTTGTGGGGGGTTTTTTTATATATAATTGAATGTCAATGATTTTGTTGTTTAGTTTAAGTTTTGAATGGAGGGTCAGGGTTTAATTTGTTTGCTTTGCTAGTTTTGAAGCTTAATTTGCTTGAAATTAACGAAGGATTGTTTGAATTCAACAGAGGCTCTCAGGACTAGCAAGAGAGAAATGGCTGTTGCCACTAGAGGTATTTGTGGTTGTTTGTCCTTGAATAATCAAAACTTTGTTTAATTGTTACTTTGGTCAATTGGTTTAACTGTCTAGTTGGAAAGTTTCTTTGTCAAAGAGTGACAAACCTATTATGGGCTTTTGGTTGTTTGATTTCTAGGTATTGAACGTGAAATTGCATCACTTCAACTGGAGGTATGTTAATGTTGTTGTTTCGGAATGGTTTTGGAAGAATTTATATTACTCGGTCTTTAGCTTTTTTTCGAAATCCTACTTTGTAATGCGTTTTCAGGAGAAGAAATTGGTGGCAGAGATAAAGCAAACAGCAAAAACAGGAAATGAGGCAAGTCTATTTATTATTTGGTGCTGTGGTTAAATGGGTCATGGATGAGAAGAAATATATATTCATGACCTATTAAGATCAGTTGTTCTCGTTCTTGGGCTTTTATAATTTTTTATGAAGCATCATGGAAAAAATGCCCAATATAAAAAGCTGCAGATGCTTCATTGAGGCATAATGAGATAAAATAACCGTAGATTTTAGGGAATGAAATGGTTTGTGATATCAAGATTGTTAGGTAAAAATTGCTTGATAAATTGGAGTTGTCTGTTGTCACTGTAAGGTAAAAATTATAGTAGATTTAGGGAAGGAAATGGTTTGTAGTAATCAAGACCGTTGGGTAAAAACTGTTCAAGAAATTTGAGTAGTCTGTATTCATGACCATTCATTAAAAATTGGAGTAGTCTGTGTTCACTGCATAAGTTTGTGCATGTGCAATCCATTGAAAGGTAACTTGGTTTTTCAGAAGTCTTAGCTTGATGCAGCTTTGAGGATGTCTTCTTGAATAGCTTCTTTATAATTTAAGATTTTGCTTAATATTTACTTAGGCTGCTACTAGAATCTTAGCCCGACAACTTGTTCGACTTCGGCAACAAATAACAAATTTGCAGGGGAGTCGTGCTCAAGTCAGAGGTGTTGCTACTCATACACAGGTCATTTTCTGTCTGCAAAATCTAGATAGTAAGATTAGAAGGATCTGGATTTTGTCCTTGTTATCTGATGTTGATATCTTGGTCTTTATGTTTACAGGCGCTGTATGCCAGCACTTCAATTTCCACTGGGATGAAAGGTGCAACTAAGGCAATGGTGGCTATGAACAAGGTATTAATATTGATGCCACTGTAGTGTAATGGTTTTTATTATTAATCCCATCTTATTTATGAGAAACATATTCATAAAAAAACCATAATTCCCTTAAAATGTCACCAGCTTTGTCTGCTAGAATATCAAAGAAATGTTAGAAATGCTGTAGGAAGAATCAAGTAAAGTTAAGTTATGATCTGTCCCCTGCGATTTCTTAGACAAATACATTTTAAACTGGAAGTCATTCATTCTCCATGTAGTGCCTGATACAGTATAATGTTCAGCAGTGATATAACCTTCAATTTGCTTATAGTGTGGACTATGGTTTGTTAGAGATGATGTAGGAAAAACCAAGTAGTGTAAGTTATGATCTGTTTTATACCACTTCGTTGACAGAGACATTATAAAGCATAAGTCATTTATACTCTAATGTAGTACCCGATACTGTTAACATTTTCAATGTTGTGTCCCAGTACTGCTTTGCAGTAGAAATGTGTAAATTGGAGATGGTTGCTTAGATTGCATTGTGTTCATCAAAGAGCTGGCATAATTCATTGAGCTTGTAGTGCTTATTTTGAAATGCTAAGCTCCTGAAATATGTGTAAGCATTCTTTACACTTGATGAAATAATGTCAATGCCTTGCTTTTTGACAGCAAATGGCTCCTGCGAAACAAGTTAAAGTGATCAAAGAGTTCCAGAAACAGTCAGCGCAAATGGACATGACGGTAATCCTTTGTTTTCTTTCTGCAACACTCCCTTTCATCCTACAGCTTCCTTCTTGTATAGTTGGTGTTCCAATACTTCTTCTAGCAATTTAATGATTATTCTTGGAAAAAGGAAGTTCAGAGGGGATGATTCATACACACTCGGCCATTATGCCTTTTCTTGGACTAATCAGAGTGACAATGTGCAAGATGTCCCTTAGCATCAAAATGTCAAATAGATTTGATTCATTGAATAGATTGAAGTTTTCTCTATGACTCTGATTTGTATATAGTTCTCTATACTGGGAATGTCAATCTTATTGAAAATTTTGCAGATTGAGATGATGTCAGAGGCTATTGATGAGACTTTAGACAAAGACGAGGCTGAAGAGGAAACAGAGGAGCTCACCAACCAGGTGAAATAACAACAGCAACATTTTACTTTGTTATAGTTTTGTTTTATGGGACTCGTTCATCTCTAATTCAACATCTTTTGTAGGTGCTTGATGAGATTGGTGTGGACATCGCATCTCAGGTTTGTTTCTTTGGGATTAAACTGTCTCACATAATCCTTAACTGGTTGTGCTTTCTCAATTTCTGGGATGTCCTATTGATTGTATGATTCTGATCCTTGTTTTAACAGTTATCTTCAGCTCCAAAAGGCCGGATTGCATCAAAGAATGCTCCTAATGCTGTTACAAGGTATGATGCAGTACTTCTTTTTGAATTAATGTCCATTATATAACTATGTTGAATGAAACAATGGCCCAAGAAATATTAATATATGGCATTGCTTCCCGAGTGAAGCTTTCAAGTCCCTGGATCACAATCAGTGCCTAAGTACGTACCTTATTTCTTAGTCCTTAGTCCTTAGTCCATATCTAATGAGCATGACATTTTTTTCAATGTAAAGAGCCTGAACATGCAAACGAAGGGAGAAGAGAAATCTTTTCATGTTTGCCATAAGACTAGGAGAAGAGAAATCTTTTCATGTTTGCTATAAGACTAGGACAACAACTAGATATTCTCTAAACAAGAGAAAAAATTGCTATTTTTGCAATGATATCACCTTTTATTTTGTTAGACTTGGATAGAATTTATACCTGCAAAGTGCAGCAGCTATGAAACTGCCTGGCTTGTTGCACTTACGAGCACTGCTACATGTGTGGAGATGTAGTCCATGGTAAGGATGTGCTGGAATATGAGAATATTACAGGGTTCTTGGGCTCTAGAATCTGTTGGTCCCTGTGATATCATATTGTCCATTGGGATCTATATCATGGCGAGACGATGGCTAGTTGTGTTGGGTGGTGATGGTGGGGTGTGAGTTTTAGTGTCATGGTAAAATTTGTTGGGAAGTGGTGTGGCACAGTTTAGAGTTTATCATGGAACATTGCCCTATTTAAGTGGTAAAGTATCTTTCATGGGCTAAGTATCTGAGATAGAGGCATCTATTGAGATTTATCCAGAAATTTGTTCGATTGAACTTAGTCAGATGGGGTTCTGAATGAGTTTGTCTCCATTAACAGTAGAAGAAAATCTTAGGTTTAATATTTCCCATCAAAATAGCCGAAAGCCTCAAAAGTCTACTTTGGAGCAAGAATCTGTTGACAAAGCTTCTATAGCCAGCACCAGAGTGCGAGTTCTGCAAAACTGAAGTTTGTCATTAACGGGAAGCAGATGTAAACAAAGTCCTTCACTCATCAATAATGATTTGCTGTCCTGGATATGTTCTTTGATGGGGCAAAAGAAAAAAAAAACACGACTAAATTTAGTTTTGACATTTTGGTTTTTGTTTGCTAAAACGCTCACCAAAATTTGTTTTCCTAACAAACTCTTTTATTTGAATTTGAATGCAGGCCCGAACCTCCCAATGTTGAGGATCTTGAGAAAAGACTGGCCTCTCTTCGACGCATTTGATCTGGAAAACAAGCAGTCACACTTGCTTGGAGCTGAATCTTCTTGGGTGTAAATTCTTACAAAAACAGTCAAATGCATGAAAATGCCTATCATACATAATCTACTTATGAGAAATAACCAGCATCTTAGACTTTCTATATTATTAACCGGAGAGAAAAAGTAGTATATATTGAAAAATATTCTTATTTTGTACTTGCAATTTGCTCTCTCTCTGCACGATGGTTGAAGCTGATTTCTGTTAAACTTGGTTCATGATTTCTCTTTCTTCTACACTACCCTTTTGACCATCTCTCAGCTTGCCCTTGTGACATGTTGAAATAGTGAGGTAAAACCAAAAAAGTTTTTGAACATTGGTCTTGGAATAACCTGATCCGAATGAAAATGGGTTGGCTAGGTCCTAATGGTGCTCTTTTGATCAGCATATTTCATGAGTCAAGTGCAAGCTGCAAACCAGAGCAACTTTATGCAGAAAGCAAATACATTTCGTGGAATGGAATGGAATACAATTGGCTAAGGAATTGCAACTTGGCTTAAGTTGGTTTAAGTATATTCTGCTGATCAGAATCTAAGTCATTCTTGATCAAGAATCAAGTTGATTTCTGCATAGAAGATAGCTCAACTGGTCCAAATACTTATCGTGATTCTGAGGTTGAGTTGGGTTTAGCCATTTTTTTTAAATCATGACATTGTTGCTTAAGCTAGGAAGGAATATATATATATATATATATGTATATGCAATGAATTACGAAAAAAAAAGGGTTATATGTATCTTCAAAGAATGGTGGAGTAAATATAAATTAGTCCCTCAATTTTTGAGAAATAAATTACTTATTCCCTTTATGTTAAAAGCATTTTTTTTAATGAGTATTGACCATAATTTAATATTATTTTATTTAAAAAAATTATATTTTTTCATCAATCTTTTTATATATTTTTTTACTTATTTTTCACTTTTTTATTTTTTGAAATGAAAATTATAATAAATAAAAAATAACAAAAATGATTAATTACAAAAAAATCATAAGAATCAAATAATTAGTTCCAAAAACAATGGGGACTAGTTAATCAATTTCTCAAATATAGAAAGATTGATTTGTAATTTATTCGATGATTGTGGGGTTTGGAGATTTTTGTACACTTCAATTTGTAGAAGATTGATCAATAAGTTGTTGGTATGTTGTAAACGAGTTGATTTCTAGACGAATTTTTTTTCAAAGTGAAAGATTCGCATTTTAGAATCGTAATTATTAAAAAGAGTTAAATTTTGTAGCTCCGTTTCAAATAAAATTAATCATATCTTCATTATCAGATAAAATTACCTAGATAAAAGAAAATGTAAAAAAAAAATTGCCTTAAAAGAGCTGGTGTTTCAAGTGCTTCGTCAACACGGTTTGTTTGACATTTGACAACTCATCACAATCCCTCTTGATTAGTGAAACTACACCAATCTCCATTGTCATTGTCATGGTATTCCAGAAGGTGTTTAAGTTGGACTTTTGTAAATTCTTGATCATTTAGACACTCTTGGGAAAAAAACATGGATGTGCTTTTTCTTAACTACAAAGTTCTTTTTTCTTGAAGTCTCTGGATAAGTTCTAAGTTGTACAACTTTGCTTATCTTTATTATACTATGGCAAGCTGCTGCCGGTTTCCTTGTCTTTTGCTCGGTTTTTTGATTTTCTAAATTTGAGTCTTGAGACTAATATATAAAGAAATTTATTTATAAATGTATGAAGTTGACGTGGAGATATTCTATTACAATTGTTAATAAAAAAAAATTATTTTCGATTGATGTGTAAATTTGTTTAAAAATATTTTTTTACTATCAAATAAAAAAAATGAAAAACTTCTTCATCTTATTTATTTAATATGGGAAATTGAAGCTGTTGTTCATGAGTTAAGCATAACGAAAAAAAGGTTTTCTCATGTGAAAGTTTAGAAACTTTAGTAAATTAACAAGTAAATTATAAATTAGTGTTTCTAATTTTGTAAAAAAAAAATCTATTTTTTTTTTAAAAACTATTAATTAGTTTCTTTAAGTTAGTAATATTTTATTGCAAATAATGTTTTATTTTCTCATCGAACTTTTCATATTGTTTACTTGTTTTTTTCTTCTCTATTTATTAAAAAACAAAATTGAAAAAGAATAAAAAGATTAAGTTATAGATAGATTTAAAAATATAAGGGTTAATTAATTAGTTATTAAAACTAGAGAAAATATTTACTTAATTTTTTTAAAAAATAAAAGGATGAATTTATAATTTACTCTAAATTAACCCAAGAAATAGGTGTAAACTTTTTTTTTTTTTTATTGAAATTAAGTTGATGACGATTGTTTTACAATAAATAATAATAATAAAAAAAACAATTACTTGACCGACAAATAATTGAAGAATTCAATTTCAACGAACAAATAGTCACACCCTAAATAGTGTATCTCTCTCTAGTCCCCCCTCCCAAAACAAATCTTTACTTTAAGCCCCTTTACACCAAAAATAGGGTTAGTACACAAATCAAAACTTCGAAAATTAGGAAAAAAATAGTCAAATAAGTAAGAATTTATATAGTCGAAAGCTTTTTTTAGTCTTACTAAATCATAATCATTTAATTGAATATGGAATTTTATGTAAATTATACGTACACATCCAAAATTTTTCAATATAAATAGATTGTCTATCGATTACAAATTTTATAATTTAACCAATAAATGTAAATTGCCAATGCAAGAAACGAGCATCAAGCAATTGTATTTTATGAATGCATTAAGTACATGGACGATGATGATCCTTCTAAAATCTAACAAGAAAGGACTCAGCTAAATATGAAAAGTTGGTCAATGTCTCTCAAAAGAAAAGAAAAGAAAAATATGGTACTTTTAGAAATTAATAACAAATATTAGGACAATAGCAAGAAACAGAAAAAATAAAAGCCCTAAATAGCAAAATTGATTTAAGACAAGAACGAAAACGAACCTTCTATTTGCCATTCAATTCTTTCCGTTGACAGGTTCTATTTTCTAACTATAATACACCAAAATTCTTCACCTTATTTTTTTACCAAAATTACAAAAAACACCTCCATTTCTTTCCTTCATTTTTCTTACCCAAATCACAGAAGAAACTCAAAATCCATTCAATTTTTACCTTCATAAACCTCGATTTCATCAATCTATCAAACACCCATCTTGTTTTTCCACTCAAAATTCAACTTCTTCTTTCTTGTTTGAAGCAATTCAGGTTTGTTTTGTTGTTATTTTTATTTTTTATTTTTGATTGCCAATTTTGATTGATATTCTTGTTTTAATGCTAAATTCATGCCTGCCCTTTATTTTTTTTTATAGTTAATTATCATGTTATGATGTGAAAGATTTGGTTCTTTTTAATGTTTCTGACATGGGTTTTTGATGTTTTGTTTAAGAGAAAAGGAGGGAGAGAGATAGAGAGAGATGCAGAGCCAGGTTGTGTGTAGAGGGTGTAGAAGTGTATTGTTATATCCAAGTGGAGCTCCTAACGTTTGTTGTGCTTTATGTAGCACTGTTACCTCCATTCCTCCTCCTGGTATATAATTCAATTCCCTCTCTTTTTTGCTCGTCTGTTGAATCCTTTTATGTTTATGTTTGTTTGTTTTTTTTTATGTGAACGTTTTAAGTGTTTTTTTTAATGTTCGCGACAGGCACAATGAATGTTGGTAGTTTGGAAGATTTGGGTTTTTGGCTTTTGTTGTTGTTTGCTAATTGGTTTTGCTATGTATACATTTTTTTCCTTTTTTTGCCCTTTTGTTTTAGTGTTTTCCAGGCGAAGGTTTTCGAAGAATTGTTGGTGGAAAAGATGGAAGTTGTGAGTTTTAGATGAAATTGTTGATTTGGGTTGTTCTTGCGGTTGATGTTTTTGAGGGTTGGTTTAGATTTGAGTTGATGATTAGCTTTGGAGGTTAGAGTTTCGTTTAAGTTGTCTCTCTTAATGGAGTTGACTACTCTTAGTGGAGTGTCATCTAAGATTAGCCATGGATTTGAGAATGGCAATGCCTATTAGCATAGTTCATAATCTTGCTGTCACCCACAGGGCATTAAGTTTTATGCTAAATTCTTTATCCAGCTTCCATCACTACTACTGAGTGCCAAATTTGTTTCTTTTTTGAAAACAAAGAAACTAGCTTGTTTTTAGACTTTTCATGGAGAATGTGCATTTGTAACTAAGGTACAAGTTAGATTACAGTACGAGAAGCTTTGGTAATTTAAATCACCATAACCTTCTTCCCTGATTCTTGATATGAATAGGCAACCTTGTTTCCAATATATTATTAGTACTAGTTATGTTTTCATAACCAATCCCCCAAACTATCCACATCTCATATGTTAAAATTAAAGTGGTTATGAAATCCCTACTCTTTTTCAAAAGAAAAGGAAATGAGGATGTGGAGGGAATTTAAATTTAGCCTGGATATAATAAAAAAATATGGTATAGGATATTTGGGTCTAATTGCAACCTTGCAGGGATGGACATGGCCCAACTCATATGTGGAGGTTGCAGGACATTGCTAATGTATACACGTGGGGCAACAACTGTGAGATGCTCCTGCTGCCACATAGTGAACCTGACACCAGGTATAATGTAAAATTTCATGAATAAGATATGTAAACTTATCTCATGGCTTTTGACAAATTTGAATTTGCAAGATTCACTCATTTAATCTTTACCATAACAACAGAAATAGTCTTGCGCTGTTTTTCTTTCTATGGTATAAAGCTTCCACGAATGTTGAATTACTCTTCTCCTCAGTGGACATTTTCTGTGCCTTATCAGAACATTTCGAAAAAGAAAACTAAAAGATAAAAGTTTATAGAACTGTCAGCTGGGCACCAGTGATCCTAATTAGTTTTATGAGCTGACTTCTTGATTTAGTGGGAAGAGTGTTGTCTTTTTATTGAGATGAGAATGTGTTTTTAAAACTTCAATCTCACTCTATTGGTCATTATGCAGCATGCATTTCTAGCACTTGATTTCTTTTACTAGTTGTTTGCACCATTTTCTAGATTCTTTTTGATTAGGTAACTGCTTTTGAATTTTTAAAGTTGATAACATTTGGAAGGATTAGTAGCTGCTGCATTTATGGTTATTAAGAGTGGTGGTATGGATTTACTTTGATACCCAATTTCCACCAATTTACCTACTGCCGTTGAAACTGGAAGCTGTCCGCTAATTTTCTCTGACAGGCACAGGATTTTGGGGAATGGGCTAAGGAAGTGTTGCTTGTATTGGCTTCATTTGTTCACTTTGTATCATTTCATTTCTAACTTGCATATATCGGTTGTTCTAAGTTCCACTATCTTTCTCTTCTGTTTGGCGGTTTACTGATTTGTTTTCTCTCTGGTTTTGTGGCTGTGTGAGAAGTATCTAACCAGGTTGCTCATGTAAACTGTGGGAACTGCCGGACTACACTTATGTATCCAAATGGAGCTCCATCTGTCAAGTGTGCGGTCTGTCACTATGTTACTAACGTTAGTGTAAGTGCATCGACTATATTAGGGTGCCAATCTTTACCTTTTAAAAAATGCTTTGGATAGTGGTTGCTAAAGCTTGAAATTATCATCATTTTTGGCTCAAGTTTTGAGCTTCTGTTATTTAAGTTAATTTCCTTCTCCTGACATGAACCCCAGTACTTCACACACTAATCTTCCATGGAATATTGCACAAATTTATGAAAACTTGACAACGGAGCTCTGCCCTTGCATTTGTGCACATTGGATCAAGATCCTCTCCTGTTAATGTTTAGGCACAAATAGTTTATTTTATATTCTGATGCCTACAAAGCATACGAATCTATACTTGGATCATAATATGTCCTTTTATCTTAGGATATATCTAATGCTCTGTACTGTCTGGTTGAGATATTTGAATTCTTAGGTCGACCAATATGATATAAAGGGAATGGATAGTTGATAATGTTCTGTAATCATTTGGAGTTTGTCTAAAATGATTGTTGTCACTCTTTTTAAGGACTGTCTTTACCATTATTAGATTTTACAAATTTCTTCCCATCCTTTCTGCATCCTGCTATATTGTGTTACTCATTTCTTGGCAGTTGTTGCCAAATTGCCAACTCTCATTACGAAGCTAAAGCCTATAGGTTTACATGCCTATGAGTTCAGAAATCTTTTATTTTTTTGAGTCGAGAACACATAATAAATTGCAAATGGGTTTTTCTTTGCGATTGAAATTGGCTTATAGTCCCCCTTTTCCCAGTCCTCTTTGCTATGACGATTTTCAGTGTCTTCACAACTTAACAAATTTTGTCCACAATGACCCCACTTGGAAAATTTTCCTTGATCTTTTGATAGTTCCAAGTGTTTGCTGCTACAGTTTGCTTTGTGCTGTGTTGCACACACAACCTTGATGTTTTCTTAGTTTCTTTTTTTCACGTAACGATTGTAAATGTGTTTTATTCTTTGACAAAATTGTCTTTTTCTTCTGAATGGATGTTTGCTCTTTGTACTTGCCAGATACCTCTGAAGTCAATTGGAATAGTCCAAAAGAGCATTTTTCTATTCCATGACATGGATTAGTTCCTCAGTTTTTCTTGATTTAAGATTACTGTAAATATAAACAAAGGAGCAGGAACTGCATTTTGATCCTGTTAGTTGGCTTCTTGAAATTCAGTGTTCTTCAGTGCATGTGTGCGTGTGTAAAGTTAAATAGACTTGGGATTGTATTTCCGTGAAGCAGACAGTTGCCTAGTGTGTCCCTGTCACCATGAACAGACACCATAGCTTTGCATATGCATTTCTGTTTTTGGTGACTGAAAGATTTATTTGATTGGATCAATCAACTGCTTCAACTTTTCCTCATTTGGTCATTTTGAAGTCTTTAGTGAGCACTAATCTTTTCACTCCCTTGTGCTTTATCATGGGTCTTGCAGATGGGTAACGTGATAGCTCCGCATCCAGCAAACAGACCCAATGGTGTAGGTGGAACAACACCGTCTACTTCAATGGTAAGCAAATGGACTTGCTTTTCTTTCCTGGGGAAATGCCTCTGACCTTGGTTATTTTGTATCTTATTCTAAGTGAATCTGTTATTCTCCTTCTCTTACCTGTAGCCGATGCCCCATTCTCAGACTCAAACTGTTGTTGTGGAAAACCCTATGTCTGTTGATGAAAGTGGCAAATTGGTATAATCTGTTTTATTTTTCCCGTTCGTTGTTTTCCATTCATTTCTTTGGAGTAGAATATGTGCTGATAAGATCTCTATCCATTGCAGGTCAGCAACGTCGTTGTGGGTGTCACTACGGAAAAAAATAACCCTGTGCGATTTTGAAATCTTGCTATATATTTGGTAGGAAACGGCCCAGATTCATACCGTCTTTGTGAAGAAGGATATGAAAATTCATTGTGTATATTTTGTTTAAAATAGCTATGAGCAACATTTGTTCAAAAACCATTTTGAATACACGAGCTGTTGGAGAAACTTGAAGTGTGGATGTGTACATTTTGAGGATATGAAGTGGAAAGGGCATTGTTTCTGTCTCTTTGATTACGGAACCGAAACATTGTTAGGTTTCGTATTAATATGAGTGAATGTGCTTGTATCTTGTCAAAGTGAACTATCCTATGATGTATTCGGGGAAATGTGCTTGTTTGTACTTCTGGAACCCTAGATTCTTGAAGATAATTTCTGTATAATTGATTTGAGTTCTATAACTAAGAACCCAGCTTTAACCTTTCCAAATAGGTTGTATTGTCTGTATGACTTCATTGCAGTAAAAATTAAATCTTTTTGTGATGTTATATACTCAGTCATCTAACTCTCAGAAAAATGGCTGTATCTGGTTCTGTTCTATAAATGGGGTGATTGGACTGGGTTGGTTTTGAAGGAGAAGACAAGAAGGAAGCCACAACCTACTCTCCATTAAAAAAATAAAATTAAAATAGGTCACTATCACTTCATAAACTTCAATTTTGTACCTATTAGACTTATGAAGAATTTCTTATCACATGACATCTCTATAAATCCAAGTTGGAGATGCTATATGATGCATGATTAATAGCTTGTACCAAAAAAAAAAAAAAAAGAGTAATTATAAATTAGTCCCTCTAGTTTTTCAAAATGAAGTAAATAGTCCATCTAGTTTTATAGACTAATCAACAGCGTGTAATTTTTAAATCTATTTATAATTTTTTTTCAATTTATTTTGATTTTTTACTTTAAAAAATAAGTAAAAAATATGAAAAGATTCATGAAAAAATATTTTTTTTTAAATAAAGTAATATTAAATTAATCGCGATCAGCACTTATAAAAAAAACTAATTAATTAATTTTTAAAATTCAAACTTTGTCTATTTAATTTATATTGCAAAACTAGAGGGATTAATTTATAATCTACTCCAGAAAAGAACAACTTTACCCATTGACATTTATCCCATCTTCCCTTTGAAAAGTGAAAGCAAATCCAAGTTCTTCTCATGGTTAGCTCCCAAAAGGCATTTTTGTTTCTCTGGTTTTCTCCTATGTCAAGTACGATTTGTTGAGAAGAGGAATTAAGCAATCCTCCATAATTTCCACCACAAATAAGCAATTGGGACAACAAGATTACGAATCTTACCTTAGTAAACACAAGGGAAAGGGCTTGAATTTTCCTAACCACCAAAACCAACACTTGAAGATTAAGTTGATGGTTAGACCACCCAAAGAAAGTTAGTAGAACACTAAACGTGGCTTATGACACTCAACAAAAGAATTTGGTCATCCATTTTTTTTCTTTCTTGAACTATATATAATGCCTTCCTTGTCTAACCATAACATCATCGTTACTCCACTCATCCTTGTATCCCAAGCTCTCTGCTCTCTTCTGTCAACATGGCTCTGCAAAATGAAGAAAAACTTGAGGTTGGATACTCTAACGTACAGCCAAAGCAAAAGAGATGGGTTCTTTTGATGCTAAGGGTGGTTGCATTTTTGGCCACAGCAGCTGCAACGGTGGTGATGGGACTCAACAAAGAGACTAAGACTCTTGTGGTTGCCACTATTGGGAGTACCCCAATTACAGCCACTCTTACTGCCAAGTTTCAACATACCCCAGCATTTGTGTAAGCCTGATTAACTCATTTCCTTTTAACATTTTCGGATCAATTTTTCCGATCATGAACAATTTTCTTGATAAAAAAGAAAAAAAAAAACCACTTAAATAATATGACTTGTGTTATATTTTTGAAGCTATTTATTCTGACATTTCTAAGAAAGTAAGACATAGGAATTAGGATGGAAATGTTTCAATAGTCCTAAGTAAGTGTGTGAGATATGGTTTACAGGTTCTTTGTGGTAGCTAATGGAATGGCTAGTAACCATAACTTGGTGATGATTATGGTGGAACTTTGTGGACAGAAGCTTGATTACAAAGGACTGCGTCTTGCCATGATTGCCATTTTAGATATGGTAATTAATATTTTCTTTACCAAGAAATTAAAGAAAGAAAAAGCTCTCTTTATTAACCAAAGAATATTTTTCTCAAATGCTTGCAGATGACAGTGTCCCTGTTATCTGGAGGAGTTAATGCTGCAGCTTTCATGTCTGAGCTAGGGAAGAATGGAAATTCACATGCAAGATGGAACAAGATTTGCGACAAGTTTGAAACCTTTTGTGACCGTGGTGGAGGCGCACTCATCGCTTCCTTTGCTGGTCTTATTCTCATGTTGATTATTAGTGTGATGTCTATCATCAAGCTTCTGATTAAACCAAAACCAGACAGTAGCTTTGTCGTCCCATGATGTAAGGGACTAGGTGAATCCCTTCACTAAATTGCAGCATTTTCTGTTGTGTGTGTGTGTGTTGTTGCTCTTGAGAATAATCAAGAATGTTGCCTTTGGGCCTTCTTTATCTTCAGGAATTGTTACAATGGCCAGGGAAATGCTATCTAGTTGCTCTTAACAGCTATGCCAAACAGATAGATTTGCTAAGAAAGATCTTCTTTTTCTATGAGATTTCTTGCATTGGAAAATGCAGGTTGTTTTTAGGCAATGGTAATTGTGCTTATCCCTTGATAACATTGATGTAACATCTGATGTGGTTTGCCTATCTGATGCTCTATACTCCATCCATACCAAACCAATATTTGGGTTTAATAACTCAATATATATGTCTTTGTATAATAATTTGAATGTATAATCTGTCTTTACATTTATAATTGCACATATTTTAAGTCTTCAGTCTGTCTTTTCGATCATAAATGAAATTTTTAATCAAAATGCTCATGAATTAAATATGAAAAAAAAAGAAAAGAAATTCTAAAACTTAAAAAATGAAACATGTAATAATATGTCACTTTAAGTGATTTTTTTCTTTACATTTTAGTCAAAAGCATTTTGATAAAAAAATTTATCTATGATCGGAAAAATTAATCGAAATAACAAATTGAAGACTTTCACATTATTCAGAAATATAATAGATGTAATTAGAAAAAAAAAATTAAAGATTCAAGTTATCATATAAAGATGGATTGAACTATTTATCCTATCGTTTATGCATCTCAGAACTTGATCTTATCTTTGGAGTAAGAATGTTTTAATGTTGGATCCAAAAGCTCAAACACAGCACTTCGTTTTTTTTTTTTTTTTCCCCATAGCTCCTATGCCTGAAATGAATTTGTTGTCACTGTAAATGCTGTCTGCAGTGAAGTATAGTTTACGTGTGGGGAGGTATTTAATCTTGCAGCTTAAAGACATACATGCTTTTGTTTTACCTAAGAGAGCTGGGTTTAGAGTCCTCATGCATTTTCCCATATTTCATGCTCCAAAGTCAATGGGTTTTGGGAAGATGGAGCTTGAAATTAGTTTAATAATGGGAGCTGTTAATGAGCTGGGTTTGGTATGGTGCTATGGGCTTGATTTTCTAGGGTTTGGTTTAAGCTTGCGTGGATTAAAGGATTCTTCTGAGATGAGTTGATAAGCCTAACGTGTCAGATGCCATTACTATTAATTATACTTTAAATCAATACTAAAAATCAATATGATGAATTGTATAAAAAAAAATAATTATGAAAGTATAAATGCAATTCATGTTATTTATATTTTCTTGATAATTATAAATAAGTTTTGGATGTCTGAAAATCAATTTATCATGAAAAAGATTGTAGTAAAAAATATGACAAGATCAATCACCATTTTATTTTTTCACTTTTGAATTTAATTAGTGTTTTCTCATTTTTTGTATTTTGTTATACAAGAAAATTATGATGCTTCCTGTTTTATTTCAAATAAATCTTATTTAAACATATGATCTTATCATCAATTCTCATTGTTTTAACAATTTCTAAATTAGAAACAATTAATAAAAAAATATTGAAGTAAGATCATGTATGGTTAAATGTTTTTTTTTTTTTTTTAACTCATAAAACTTAAAACTATATTTGAGTTGTTTTCTTTTCAAAAAGCTTGCAAATTTTAACATAATCCTATTGTATCCTAGCTGTATTCTCTGTATCTCCCACGTATCTGAAATTGAAAAAAAAAAAAAAAACAAATTGAAATAGTTTTTAGCTATATCTCCACGTATCCTGTACATATCGGGCTATATTTGATGTGCATCGATATCCACTATTAACCCACAATCTAAAGCTCCGTCTAATATTTTAAATTTTTTAGTTTTATATATATATATATTTTTATACAGTATCCAAGTTCTAAGGGGCATTTATTTAAAGAAATATGATAAATAATAATATAAATCGTATCGTAAAATATCATTCATTATTTTAAATTTTTAAACTATTTTAAATTAAAATAATTTTTTAACATTTAATATGTATGGATACAAAGATTTTTTTTAAAGTATCCGTGTTTCTTAAGACATCGAGCAACATAGACAAATAACCTACCATCTAATTTAATTTTTAATTTTTTTTCTTTTTTAATTTTGAGGATTTAAAGTTTAGTATGGTATTTGATTTGGTCTTTAATGGAGGACCCACACGTTTTGGGTTTTAAATTTTTTTAATGAGAAAAACTATCTCAACTCTAGTAATTCATGTAAGAGTGCTATTTACGTATAAAAATAATTTTAAATATTTTGTTATTATTATTTTAATATTATAATAAATTATGATTTATGATATTTATCGTAATTATTTTTTCAATCGTTTACTTTTTAAAATGATATATCTATGTATCTCCTGTGCGTTGACTTGGAATCTAAATTGATCTTATATGGCTTACGTTTCATCATTACTAATAAAACAATTTGATGGAAATTATTTATTGAAAATGGGAGAAATCAGAAAACACGAAAGTTGATTGAGTAAATGTTTTTGAGAAGAGGGAATTAGAAAGAAGAAAGACGGGGAATGGGCTAAGCCCTTCTGTCAGGAGTATCATCATAAGATTCTTAAGAGGATTTCCAGTGGCAGGATATAGCGTGGCATTAGTATGATAAAACAGTTGTCGTAATTCATGCCTGCACAGACATCATCATTAATATTATATATATATAGTTGGTGGCTATTTTTTTTATTCATATATAAAGATTGTTTCTATTGGATTATCTACAGGTTAAATTTGTTTTTGATGGGGAATATATATTAATTTATCCTTTTTATATTCAGAAACACGTAGCTCATCATTATTAATTTTTAAGCATAAGACACATAGCTCATTATCTAACGCAGATTCTTCTGTTTTCATGAATTTTGTATCCCATGTCTAACAAGAGCAGTCGAGCCTCCAGTCTAGCAACTTGTCTCCAAAAATGGTCTCTTCACTGTAGGATTCGCAAGGATTGGATCTGATGAATTCAATGCCAACTAGTTGGAATTAATATGGTAGAAAAATCAGACAAGCCGACCTCTTTGGCTTGCCAATAGACGGCAGACAATTCAGGGGTTCAGGGAATATTAAACACCTACTGTCAAGAAATAATTAAACTGTTTTGGGATTGGTTTTTCTCAATTAATTTTCTGCATACTGCCGCATTGATGAGATCATAATTTTCATATATATATATATATATATATATATATATTATTTTTTTTGATAACGCGGGTGTCCGGCCGGTTCATGCGCACTCGATTAAATCCCACGGGTCTCGAAATTAACGACTATGTAAGTCTTCGAGTGGCTATCAAGGGAGCAATCGGGACTCGAACCCGAGACCACAGGGGAGCAAATTCCTTGGTACCAAGTCCTTACCGCTACACCATCCCTTGATTGTTTCATAATTTTCATATTAATATTGATGGTTGGATAATTTTTAATTTAGACTCGATTATATGATAAAAGATAACTTGTTATGAGAAGGATTTGCAAAACAAATCCTTTTTTAGTGTTTGAAAAAACTCTTTGATGATTAAACTAACATGCAAAGAGAGGAGTTAGTTTTTTTTTTTTTTTGCTGCTATTATTAAAAAAAATATATATATATATATATCAATTATAGACCTAAAGAGGTAGAACCCATAACACATAAAGTGTTAACTTATATATAATAAAAGGAATGGTCAATGTGTACAAAATGGAGCGTTGGTTGGTCTTTTTCGTTGTGTATATTTAATGAACTCCGATATTTATCTACAAGTTGAGAATTTTTGGAAATGAATATTTATAAGTATTGAAGCATATACAATCATATCTAACGATGATATAATAGACATTCTTTGAAACTATGTTTTTATTAGGAATGGTAAAATGACTCGATTCGAAGTCGTCTCTTCTCATCTCGTAATTTTTTTGAATGGGATGGGATTTGTCTACTTCGTCCTAGTTTTATCTCGTCAACAATGACTCATAATTAAGTATGTGCTAGAACATGTTTTGTTATTGTTTTTCTTTAAATTTTAGTGATTTAATCTCTTATTTGAGAAACAAAATTATATAAATTATGTGTATTAATTATAAAATCTATCAAAACAAGATAAAATAGAACGGAATGAGATGAACATAAACAGTAAAACGAGATCCTATTTGTATCGCGGGATCCCTATCTCTATTTGGGAGCAGAAATGGGATGATAAATTTTATTCTGTTCGAAGCACGAGGCAGGATGGAGAATTTTTTAAGGGGGCGGGGCTGGGCGGCGTTGCCATCCCTAGTTTTTATTAAACACTCGTGCTTTATGTCTGGTACGAAGAGAGAAAAAGAGAGTCCCATTCGAGATGCTGAACTGTGATATCTATATACACTGAATTTGTATGGCCATGAAGTCCCCCACGATTGGAGAGGCAATCCTGACCACGATTGCATATGCACACGCGTCAGGCTTAGACAAAACTTTAATCAGAAAGTTGAATGATTTGAAAAGTATTGGACCAACTTCTGGTTAGTTATGATGCAAGCAATGACATACACACAGAAACATCTAGAATTTGAGGAAAATTTTGCTTGCAAGAAACATTCATTAGGATTTAGCTATATTAACATTTGCTTTCCTACCTTCAAGATCATGTACCAAACTAAAACTTTTCAATAAACACTAGCGATAGCAAAATTTCGATATTTTGAAAGCTGAGCTGTTTTGAAATGGCACAAGTAAAACTACTAGATTTATGGGCTAGTCATCCTGCAATGAGGGTGAGAATAGCATTGGCTGAGAAGGGAATAGAGTACGAGGCCAAGGAAGAGGACTTGAGAAACAAGAGCCCTCTGCTTCTAGAGATGAACCCAGTGCATAAGAAAATCCCAGTTTTGATCCACAATGGGAAGCCCATTTGTGAATCAATGATCATAGTTGAGTACATCGATGAGGTCTGGAGTGACAAGTCTCCTCTACTGCCTTCTGATGCTCACGGGAGAGCTCGTGCAAGGTTTTGGGCTGAATTCATTGACAAAAAGGTGAATCATTTTGTTCCACTTGTTTCCTTTTTCTTTACTACCACTAGTTTCTATGGTGCTACGAGGACAAAGAACTTGTCATTAAATCAAATAATTTCACTACTTTTATATGCAGCTATAACGGTTTTAGTTTGTATAATTCACTATCATCATATAATGTAGGTTGTCGACCCAGCTAGGCGGTTGGTATGGGCATCAAGCGGTGAAAACAAAGAAGCAGCAGCAAATGATCTCATTGAGTTTTTCAAAGTAATGGAAGCAGAGCTTGGAGACAAACCCTATTTCCAAGGAGAGAGCTTTGGCTTTGTTGATGTTGCACTTGTACCTTTCTATAGCTGGTTTTATACTTACGAGACATTTGGGAACTTTAGCACTGCTAAAGAGTGCCCCAAGCTCGTTGCATGGGGTAAAAAATGCTTGCAAAAGGAAAGTGTGTCCAAGACTCTACCTGACCCATATAAAGTTTACGAGGGCGTTTTGGAGCACAGGAAGACGCTCGGACTCGAGTGAATTTCTAATTACAGAATACATACATGGCACCACACAATAAGGCTTCAGCTTGTCTTCCTTTACCTGTTTCGTTTTGTATTTGATTGCCTGCCCTTGACTTCATGTCTAGATTCTTACACGTGTCGAATTGATACTATGTAATGCAAACGTCGTTGCTTATCGTATAACGGTAGTGGAATTGAGCCGATTTAATTTGTATCAATAACAAGTAACAGATCGTTTCTAAAGCCTATGCTTGAAATACTCATCCATTGCAAATGCACAGTAGATCAGAAAAAAATCTTTACCTCTATTGCTGTTGAGACTATTGGTCGAATTGTTGGTTCATTTAATTTATAGTTATGTTTGATTTTGTAATTTTCAAAATTAAATAAGAAGAACTATCTAATTAGATTGAAGCCATTGGATCGATTCTATAAAGGACTTGATTGCAAGTAAAATTTTATCAATAAGGACTAAATTGTTTCCAAAAAAAATACAAGAACCAAACATTGGAACTCAAGATGAAAATTTATGGAAAACTACATTACATTACTAAAAACATTCAAACAAAAATTAAATCAAGAACCATGAATAATTTTTCATATTCAAAAATATATCCTCTATTTTTTATGAAGATTAATTAGCTTCGATTTTCACTTCCTTGGCTAGCAAAAATATTCTTGTTTGCAAAATCTTCTATCTCTTTTTGTTTTTCTGCTTTTTTTTTTTTTCACGCTTCATCAGCACACATTCTCTATCGAGTCGGTGTCGAAGGTTAATTTTAACATATGATTAAGGAAACAAAACATCACGAGACTTCATGAGGAGAACCAGAGAAGGACGCGTGGTGTCGAATTTTAATTTTAATATGATTTTTCAAAGACATCATAAGAGAACAAGTCAAATTCTAACATGATTTTTCAAAAACATATTTTACAGTGATTCTACACCTGAAAGAAAATCGAAATGGATCTGATACTTCCCAAAACCTTACTCATTGAATCCTGCAACCTCCGATTTGAACATTTCTAGATCATGATTGGACTCCATAAATAGTAGTCAAGCTACGTGTTGATTCACTCATGGCCAACAATCAGGTTCATGCAAAAGAAGGTGCTTTTGGCACTCTAGAACAATGCCAAGTCAAATTTGTTAGGTGGTGGAAAGATTATTTGTGAGACTAGTTTAATTGAACCTGCTATTGGACTATTCAGCTAGATCAGGAAAGGTCAAACTTCTGGCTACATTTTTACTATTCAAAATATTGATAAATGTATATCAGAAACTTGTTGGCTATTGAAAATCAAACATCTGGCAATTTTTTAACTCCCATAAGGTTGATCTATAAACATGGCTCATTATCTATTAAATTGCTGCTTGTTTTTTTCTCCATTGTTTATGAAGGTTACCTTCCATGGCTAGCAAAAGTATTCTTACCTGTAGGATCTACCGGCTCCTCCTGTTTTGCTTCTGTGCATCTCATGCTTTAGCAGCAGACACACTCTACCAAGGTGGTGATGCCCTTAATTCTTCCAGTAAACTTGTTTCCAAAAATGGGTGGTTCACTTTAGGATTCACAAGACTAGGATCTATTGAGTCCAACGCGAGCTACTTGGGAACATGGTACAACAGTGACACGAGCCACCCTTTTTGGCTAGCCAGTAGAGACAAACCTATAGCAGGCGATTCAGGGTTTCTTGCAATAGATAGATCAGGAAATATGAAACTCTCCTACTCTGGTGGTGATCTTGTTGATTTCTACGCAAGTCAATCTTCTACAACCAATATAACAGCTATCTTAGAAGATACAGGGAATTTTGTTTTGAAAGATGCGAACTCCCGCAGCGATCAAGTCTTATGGCAAAGCTTTGATTCTCCTACTGACACAATCTTGCCAGGAATGAAGTTAGGAATCAACCATAGAACCGGTCAAACCTGGTACCTCACATCATGGTTGAGCGATCTGGTCCCAGCTCCTGCTGGGGCTTTCACTTTTGAATGGGATCCCAATGGAAAGGAATTGGCCATTAAGCGGCAAGATGTAATTTATTGGAGTAGTGGACCATTGAGGAGCAATACTAGTTTCGAAAAAATTTCTCTGGATTCAGATGTTGTTGATTACAGTTTTATCAATGTTTCTGATGCCGGCGAGGATTACTTTATGTTCACAGTTTCTGCAAATCAATTTACTCCTAAGGGTCAAAGGATTTTTTCAATGTGGCAGATTAAATTTGATGGGAGCATAGTAGATCAAAGTATTGGACGAGGATATTTGGGCACGGTATGTGAAGGAAAAAAGACGGATGCTGGTTGTGAGAGATGGTCAGGACCGGAATGCAGGAGTAACAGGAACAGTTTTGAATTGAGAACAGGTTTCTTTGCTGGTACAGTTCCTTCGAAAGTCGACAAAAATGCTAGTCTTAGCATTAGTGATTGCAAGGACATCTGCTGGAAAGATTGTCAATGTGTTGGTGTTAATACCGTAGGCAATAATGCCAACAATACTGGATGCACATTTTGGTATGGAAGCTTGACACCAGACCCGAGTGGAAGATCAGATCAATACTACATCATTGTTCAAGGGTCTTCAAGTTAGTTCACCTTTAGTTTTCTGGTTACCAGTTTTAAACCCAACGACGAAATTCATTGAATTTATCTTTAATAATTTGCCACTGGATGTAGGGAAAAGGAACTGGATATGGATTCTTTTAGCTTCAATAGGATTTGTTTTGATAATGGCTCTCGCCGGACTCGTTTGGTATCTGAGAAGGAGAAGACTCAGAGGTAACATTTTTGAAACTGTAGTTTTTAATAAGCATTATGCTTGTTGACTTCTAAGCTTAACTTAATTTATCATATCAATCTGAGCAGAGAAGTATTTAAACGA